ATTCTTCAGTCTCATCAGCCTCATCCTTCCATCAGTCCCAGTCAACGCCTCCAGCACACTTCCAGTGTCTGACTCCATATGATATTGTCCTGATGCTGTATGGGTGATGCCCCATGATCACAAAATGACCCCTCTAGAGTCTGAGTGCCAAGGACCTCATATTATGTCTGTCATTCATGTTACATCACCCATTATAACAGTTTGCTTTCCTTTTTTCTCTTCTCTTAACGGAATAGCCCTGTCTTTAAGTATAATACAATGTAAAGTCCTTTTCCTGCACCATTTGAAGGCTTCAAAAACAGGCATTTGTACTGTATGTGTTTGGAGAAATGACACAATCAATGGCCCAGAATTGTACTTTATAAACTATGAATCTTGTGGTGCTTGAAAAAATACACACTGGCTAAGCCGACCAGGTTATATATATAAGCCTTTTTTGGAGCCCTTTTTTGCAATATTTATTCAAATGTCACTAGTTATTTAAACAAACCACTATCTGAGGATAATACATGCAACCATAAAACGCCCTTTATCTAGAGAGCCATTGAAGCCCATGAAGAATTTATCCTTCCACAAATCTTTACATCTGCTCTATTAATAAAGTTGCCACGTGTTTTCAAATTCAAGTTAAGGCACTATCTGTGCAGAACATTACAAATATTCTTCATTTGCAGTATTTTATTTTAAAAGTGTTCAGAAAGACTGCATCAATGATATGCTATATATCTATATATCTATATAATATCAATATTGTTATTAACTTAAAAAAAAATTGGTTAATTGCCATGGATGTGGTGTTTGATATAGTTTACGTTCAATTTCAACTATTTTAGGCAGAAAAACGTATATAGACTAAACCTTTTTGAATAATTTACTATACTTTAGAAAGGTTTTTGTGAGAAATCATTTCAAAAGTAAACTTTTTTTCCTTTTGTATTTAAATTTGAAATGTTTGCACACAACATTATTAATGTATACATTTGTATCAATTTTTTTCAATTATGAATCCATTAATTGTATTGTATTTCCTTGAGGCTGGGGAAGATATCCAGCATGTAGTTCAACATGCAAATGTTCTAATACAAGTAAGTAGAGATGGGTGAGTCCTGATTCATCCGGATCATTAACCCGGATCCTAGTAATGAGCTGGTCGTGACGAGTCTCCCCTCTCCATTAACCCGAGTCCTTTGAGTCCTACACCTGGTGACGTACAAATTAAAACTATAAATTGCGTCACTCGGTACTCTCCTTATAACATGTAAAATCACATTACAACGTACCCCAGTCCATCTGCCTAGCCTTTAGCAAGTAGGATAGCTGCCAGAAGTTATCGTTTGGCTCAGGGGACGCAGATCAGTGAAACTTCCTGCAGACTTGTGCGGACTCAGAGCCGTAACCGTAGCAGTCAACAGCACGACGAGTCAACAGCAGACTCAGATTCGCAAATCCTGACTCACTGAATCAAGGGAACTTCCTTCACTTCCTGCAGACTCGTGGGGACTCAGAGCCGTAACCGTATAGCAGATCCAGAGATCCAGACTCGTCATGCACGAGCATAGCCGCGGGAACTGGGAAGTCATTTTATTTAGGTGGATTCAGTGCCGGAGGAATCACTCAGCACGAAGATGATCTCAAGTCTCTCCAACCAGGAGCATGGCTCAACAACACACTCTCACTCCATAAACGTCCAGGAGCGACGCTTGGTCAGGGTCCCGAGGCGTGCAGTTGGGACGCTCCGAGGCTCCTTCAGCTTCATAAAGGGACGCAAATAGCTTTCAACTGATTGCAATGTATTCCCATCTGCGGCGGGATTTGACGCTCATGGAAGCACGGCATTCGTTTGTGTCGGAGGCTGTTAAAGGCAATGTGAGCGTCCATTCCCATTGGATAACGGAGAATTGTACACCCTGAAGTCAGTATTCCCCTTACTGTCGATTGATTTGACAGTGATATCTGCACTACTCATCAACTCAAAAACACCAGATTATCCTTGTTAATTACACAACATTGATTGGTTTAAATTGTGTGCAATGCTTTTGTATTTTTCCCCTTCGATTCGGAGAAACAAATATTTTTTCGGAGTTTAGGATGGCAGAAGACACTACACTACCCAGAATCCCCAGCTATCGTTTGGGACTACACCATGTGCTCTGCATGACAAACCCCGTGATTAGTCCTCAAGCTCTGTGATTGGTTGACCTCCAACTACATTCCATATGAAAAAAAAACGTTTCGTAAAAGATAAAATCATACTTTATTCAGCAGTGCTTGCTTTACTCTTTGAAAGTCATCACATGAATGCATTGTAATAAATGGTTTGGCTGCATTAAATATTACACATCTGTCGTAGTTCTTTATTTATCTACAGAGATCGGGCCTCAGAATAGACCGGAAACTATTCTTTTACCGTTTTTTTTTTAATTTCACAATAAAGTTAGTAGTAATATTTGGTTTTGATATTATTGTTTTTTATTAACTACTAGACCTCTGGGTCATGTTAAGACCATCTTTTCTGTGTTGCTGTGGGTTTTTTACATCGCTTTTGTGTTACACATATCAAAACAATAACTAAATATATCCGTCGTAAACTAAACCAGAAACAGCAGTATATTTTATTTTGTTAACACTGTAAACTTGACAGCTTTTTAACCCAAACCACCTACTGGTTAAAGCACGTTATTACACGTTTAGAGTAATTGCAATGCAGGTAGATTGTGTTGCTTTTTAATGACTGTTTAAAATGCCTTTTTCTTAATGTCTTTCATTTTTGTAAAGCACTTTTGAATGTGTTATATTTTATGAAAACAGACAAACTAATTAGGCTTTATTTAAACATTAAATAATACTTTAGGTCTTCTTTTAAACACATGTAAGCAAAAAGCTTTGGGGGTATCTATATTAAGCCTGACAAAGTACTTAACGTCTAATATATTGCATGGTTTGTTTTGGAACTTGACAATCAACTTTCCTGCAATGTTAACTATGTTGAAGCACTTATGTTAACCGATATTATACATATTTATTATACTCTTATAAGATGTATGTAGATAGAATAAGAAATGTGCAGAATATGACAGTTTAATGGTGGAGGTACACACATATTGATAGATCTCTTGTTGAGGAACCTATGACCCAAGTTTGTCATCATTGCATAACTACACCGTAGTTGTGTATATGATATTTCAATAAACCTTTGAAAATCTTGAAATCTTGAAAGGGATGTGCAAAATAGCCATTATATACAGTTTATGATGAACAATTAGAGAATAACGAGTAATGCATATGCTTTATAGGGATCTGCAGATACATTTTTTGTCTTCTCAAGCACCAACTATTAAATATCTCGCCTGATTGTTGGCACTTGATAATCACCTTCACTGAATTTTACTCAGGTGTAACTAAAGTCTGATTTAAGGGTTGTTTATATTTCACATCATTAATCCAAATCTGTAAAGTAACTAAAATAAATGTAGTAAAAATACCAGGTTAACCTTAAAGAAAGCCCTCAGGATTATAAAAGACCCCCATCACCCCACAAACTGTTCTGTCTGCTGCCGTCTGGCAGGCGGTACCGCAGCATCCGGACTAAAACCACCAGACTCAGGGACAGCTTCATCCCACAGGCCAGAAGACTATTAAACACCTGAACTTAGAAACAACATCCATAACATTCATCTGGCTGCTACTTAGAAATTATTTGTCTAATATATCATATTCCAATCACTTGTATATAGACTCTTATTGCAGTATTTAAGAAGAGACGCTGGTGAGCCTTCTTTACAAGGACAGAGGTGTTAAGCATCCAGGAGAGGTCCTCATTGATGTGGACAATAAGGTGCTTACACGCTGATGGGTGTGTGTGTAGCCCTTGGACCTTCTGAAGTCCACAATCAGCTTCTTGGTCTTCTTGGTGTTGAATTCCAGGTTATTGTCAGCGCACCAAGCCACCAAGTGCTCGACCTCCACCCTGTAGTTTGTCTCATCGTTGTTGGAGATACAGTAAGGGCGACCACCGTTGTGTCATCTGCAAGATTTACAAATGCAAATCAGTGGGGAAGAGAGTGAGGGGTTGGTGGTCTGCAGGGGGCACCGGCACAGTCTTTGTGGTCGCCTCCTGGTTGTCTCCGTCAAAGCGAGCGTAAAATGTATTTAGCTCATCAGGGAGGGAGGTGTTGCTGGTTGGGGGGCTGTGGCTAAGGGGGCTAGTGCGTTGATCTTCGGATCAGGGGAGCACTGGTTCTATCCCCACTGCAGTCAGCATGTCGTTGTGTCCCTGGGCAAGACACTTCACCCTGAGTTGCTCCTGTGGGGACTGCCCACAGTACTGAATGTATGTAAATCGCTTTGGATAAAAGCGTCTAACAAGTGACATGTAATGTATTGTAATGAGGTGTAGGTGAGTTTGCAGTCTGTGGTGGCCTTGATGCCACATGCGTCAGGGGTCGGAGTTGGTGGTGAAGTGTTCCTCTACCCGTAGCTTGTGGCTGTCCTTGGCCATTTTGACGGAACTTCTCAGGTTGGCCCTGGCTGAACTGTAGGCCTGAGTGTCCCCTGTTTTGAAAGCAGTGTCACGTGCCTTCAGCAGAAGACGGACCTCTTTGTTCATCCACGGCTTCTGATTCGGGAATATTATGATCCTTTTGATGGTGGTACAATTATTGATGTTGTTGAAGTTGATATAGTCCAGAATGGAGGAGGCATATGAGTCAATGTCTATGTAGGACTCTAATGGCGCATTTCCACCACACGGTCGGCCTCGGCCACGCTCGGTACTGCTTGGCCGCGTTGGGCCTTAACAGGGCCGGCTCACTTCATGCTGCGCTTCCATTACAGTTTAGGAACTGGGGTAGTTACTATAGTAACGCAGTGTAGGCGGAGCGACGCTGCATACAACTGCCGTGACGTCATCTTCAATGCGACACAACTCACGAAGCACGCAACAATGGAGGATGTGGATGCCATCGTTTCCTTGTTTCTGTGTCTGTGGTGTTTTATCACAGCAAGAAGGAACACTTTCTTTCGGAAAAGGCGGCTTATAGCAAGACGTAATAGAGAAGAAGCTCATGGGAGACTTATGGCAATCGCAGAAAGCGGCAGAGACTACTCCAGCACGACTCAACGCTACTCGGTAAGCTAACGTTCGCTAACTAGCAATGTGTTTCACGCTCACTATATGACCAAAGTGTTTCAAGTATTTAATTAATTGTAGCTACCACTTTTACGTATTAAAATATGTATGATTTTGTTTGTGTATTTCAGAAGTTAGGTCGCCGCCGCAGACCATGTGTTTGGATGCTCGACCGAGCTACCGAGTGGTGGGGTGTGATTGTTCCATCTTTCACACACACTCAGTGGGTGGAAAACTTCAGGATGTCAGAGGAAACCTACGTCTACCTGTGCAACAAACTGCGGCTAGCGATGGAGAGACAGGACACAGCATTCCGCAAGTGTATACCTCTAAAGAAGAGGGTGGCCATCGCACTGTGGAAGCTTGCGACCGGCTCAGAGTACAGAAGCATTGGACATATTTTCGGAGTGAGCAACACAACTGTGTGCCGGTGTGTGCAAGACTTCTGTGCTGCTGCAGAGACGTTGTTAGTACCGGAACTAATTCGTTCACCAGACCGGGAGAAGTTTGCAGAAATGGCCGACTACACTGAGAACAGGTGGGGGCTCCCACAGTGTGTAGGTGCTATTGATGGATCACACATACCCATCTTGGCACCACAGGAATACCACTGCGACTATTTCAACCGTAAAGGCTGGCACTCCATCATCCTTCAAGGAGTTGTAGATGGAAAGGGACATTTCTGGAATGTGTTTGCAGGAATGCCTGGGAGCTTGCATGACGCTCGCGTTTTGAGACTGTCCACATTGTGGGAGTTGGCCAGTCGTGGCAACTACTTTCCACCTTGCACCAGGAACATTGGTGGGGTGAATGCTGGCTATTACATCCTGGGAGACAATGCCTATCCCTTGCAAAACTGGCTCATGAAAACGTTCCCTGACAATAGACAGCTGACAGCAGAACATGTGATCTACAACAAGAACATTTGCAGAGCACGGGTAGTGGTCGAAAACGCTTTTGGTAGACTGAAGGGAAGGTGGCGTTGCCTCATGAAAAGAAATGACTGTGATGTGAAACTTGTGAAATCTATGGTGCTGACTAGGGATGCCAGAAACTGACCATGATCAAATTCGAAAAATCGGACAGCCCTGGCGAATATTAATCGATTATTCTCCGACAGCAGGCAGCAGCAGTCTGCACTCTGCGCAGCTGGCTTCCTCCAAGTTTACAGTAAAACAAACTGGTGGTGTGACCAATGGCCATTTACAATTATTAATACTATTACTATTATTAGCATTAGTCTATATTTTGGTTGAAACTAAGCCAGGAAAAAAAAGAAAAACATAAATAATAATAAAAATATATATAAATAAAATCGAATTTTAAAAATAATTTTCGATTATGGAGACTGTAACGAATATTTGAAAAATCGAATAATCGCTGGCATCCCTAGTGCTGACATGCTGTGCTCTGCATAACCTCTGCGAGAGTCATGACGAGGCCTATGATGATGAATGGGATGCACCAGCAGCAGCAGCAGAGCCTGGGGTAGCAGTGGCACAAGGTGCAGAGGAGGAGGGCACTGAAATAAGAGAGGGTTTGATGCGCTACCTGAATAGCAATTGAAAGATTGTGGGCCATTAAGGGTAGTGATATTTTGTTTTGTGTTTATTATTACTACATTGTGTTGAACATAAATAAATATTTTTTCTCTTTCACATACATGTGTTTGTCAAATGATTTAAACCAAAAAATGTTATCAGAATTGACTATTTAGTAAATATTTGAATTTCAAGTACCAGTAAGTACTGCCCCATAATAAGAACATTTGAGCAAATATCAGATCCTGAAAAGAAAATCTCTAATAAATTAAGCAAATATCCAAGTAAACTATAAACATAAATACAAATCATCTCTTATCCTCCTCTTTCTGTTTTTTTTTCGAAATACCCCCTTCCAGTTTATTTATAAAAGGTAGTCTTTGACTTTAAGTAATGATGTGTCAGTTACCAAACAATGTTTTAGAGGAGGACCTCAAACTAGCAAACTATTTCTTGCTTTAAATCTATTCTTAAAATTCACTTTTTATCTTATGGGCTTTTTCCTAACTGGTGTTTCTTATTGCTTTATAAATTCATGTACAATGTTAGATCCACATAAATGTTATTAGTAGCCTATTTTTATTATTATTTAGAACAAATATAGGCCTATAACTTCTGCGAATCTGAATTTTTTTTAAACGTTGGACTACGACACAATTCTCAGTGTTTTTGTTCTGCTGATTTAAAGCCCTTTAATGAAACGTGCACATTTCATTTCAGTTTATGATTGGATTCCAAAACTGTGTGTTTGTGTGTGAGTGGCAACCCAGTGACTTTGTTTACATGCTCACGAAAATCAGTTTGTTAATCAGATTATGGCAGGAAATCAGATGATGCATTTATCAACAAGAGATAAGATGAGAAGTACTTTATTGAATCCCAATTTGGGAAGTGTTTTAGTTGCAGCATAAAAAAGCCATGGCATTGTACAAATAAAAAAAATAAAAAAATGTGTTGCTGCAGCAAAAAAGGCATGGCATTATAAAAACAAAAAAGAAAGATAAGACATAAACAAGAAAGTACTGTACTAATGTGGCAATTACAGACGTGGTTCTTCTTCCTGAAGAGACGGGCCACGTCGGCTGTCCACAACCTGGCCAAGAGTGCGCAGGAAGGCTAAGTTAAATGCCAGAGTTTGAGCGTTCTCCTCCCTTCTCAAGGCCATTTCCTCCTCCCTTGCCCGGGCAGTAGCCTCCATGGTCAGCTGCCAGTGCCGATCCACCTGGGCCAGGCTCCGTACATGGTGCCGTTCCTCCTGTGCCAAGTGCTCGTCTCCTCCTCGTTTCCTCTTGCCTGTATGATGATAAGATAATTATAGCAATAAGAATTAGCAATAACAATGAAAAACACAGGACAGGTACAGGTCACACAAGGATATAAGAATAAAATGTATAAGCAGAACTACAGTAAGGATGAACTAAAGACAGTTATGCCCTAGATGTTTACAATGATTGTGAAAGTGAATTACATTATGTCCAGCCTGTTGATAATGAATATAAATATATGTATATAATAGGATGTCACACACAATTGTACTAGCTGCTTACTAGCTAGTTACTTACTTGTAACAGAGCACTTCCACACAGTGGTATAGCTTATTTTACTTACTGACGATGGATGATCTAAAGTTTAAAAAAAGTCACAATTGCAGTCGTTTTGCCATGCCTATTTCTTACCTAGAACCACACGCTGCGGTGTCGTGATGGCACTCGGCGTTGGTGGTTGAGTTGGTGTTGGTTGTTCGGCTGGTGTCTGTGGTCGAGTTGGGGTCCCTTCTGGATTCGATGACGAGGACGGATCACCCGTTGTTCGGGACTGTTCCTCCTCACTAGTTTCATCTATGGCATCATCTAGAACAGCAACATGACTTGTTAATTCCACAAACTACTGCAGCACAATACTAAATAGCAACAACAACAACTGTAGAAAAGAAAAACTGATAGCAAACAATAGCTCTAGCTAATGCTATCTGCCTTAGCTAGCTATGTAGCTCTTCGGGGATCCATAAAAGCATGGGTTGTAGAACTTAAATGTAAGGATAAAATAGACGAATCCCGATGGGCCGGTACTGAAGTGGGCCGGTTGGACGATGTGGGCCGGTCGGATAAGTCACTAGCACTTTGCCATTTCTTCTTTTAGCTTCTCTGTTTTCAAAAATGCTGCAAGCGTCCCAATATATGCGACGCTAGGGATGATCAGAGTTGGGTGTAACGCGTTAATAATATAATATTACTTTTGTCGGTAACGGAGTAGTGTAACGCGTTACTTTTATAATTCAGTAATCACACTACAGTTACTAACATTGCCCCGACACGCGTTACTTCGTTACTTTTATAAAATCAGTCATAATCACACTGACAGACAAGAGGGGTTTCCACCGCAGGTTTATATGTACGTAATCTGCGCGACTTGCGCGTCCACATCTACAGGCGCAGTGCTGCATAAACATGGCTGAGTCAGCGATAACTTTCGAGGGGTGGAGGTATGCCCATTATTTTGAGTTCGTCCGAAGAATAGACAGGAATGTGACGGTGAGGTGCAAACTGTGTCCAGGCCAGAAGCTGTTATCCACTGCTGTAAACACCACGTCAAACCTCAACAAACACCTGCAAAGAACACATGCTAAGGTGAAGCTAATAGCTAAGGACCCCCGAACCCAGAGTGAGGATGTTGTGAGTGTGCCGCGCCGACTCCGAAGCAGCAAAAATGACCGGTAACCAAAGCAGAGATGGACAGGCTTGTAGCATCCTTCATAGTAGAGGTAATGTTGCCCATTTGCACAGTGGAATCACCATCACATCGTTCAGAGATATGCTGTGCAAAATACAGATAGCAGGAGACAGAGGACAGCCATGGTCAGAGCTATCTGGATCAGTTTTATGCGACAATGGAAACTGAACTAAAGAGAACATTTGAAACTTTAGCAGTCTGCGTGATCTGCCTGTAGGGAGGGGCGGGCCGGCCCTGCAAGTAAAGTAACGAGTAAAGTAACGAGTAAAGTAACGAGTAAAGTAACGAGTTACTTTATGTAGAGAGTAACGAAGTAGTGTAATATATAACTTTTTTTTTAAGTAATATGTAATATATTACTTTTTTTTAGTAACGACCCCATCTCTGGGGATGATTAACTCGCGTGAGAATTGTGACGATTCTCTCTGACCAATCAGCAGTCGTCACTAATTTAGCATACTCCGCCCAGTTGTTGGCCCGCTAGTGTGGCCTCGATAGAACCACAATTTTGTCGGCCCAGAAAAAAGGTGAAAAAATGGCCCCGGGCCGGAACTAGGCCTAGTGGAAGTGCAACCAAAAACGGGCACGGCACGACACGGCACGCTTAAACCGCGCTCCGTGCCATGGTGGAAATGCCCCATTACATACCCCAGTCTGTGTGTTGGAACTTGGGCTGTAGTATGGAGTCTGCCTGCTCTGGCAATCTTTAACCGCTCTAACAGAGGGTTTCTGAGTGGTGTGTACATGGGGTGTGTGGGGAAAATGTTGATCCATGCGCTCATTCATCAGAGTTGATGGAAAATGTTTCCTGATTGGGAATTTAAAACATCAAATATGTCAGTCACATTATGCCCTGAGATTTGACCATTGATTTTTATGCTGTTGTTTACATTCGTCATAAGGCAAATATAAAAAAGGCACCATGCTACAGATATGCTTTCATATTCTCTTATTTTTTTGTCTTGTTTTTCTTGTAGCTCAAGTTGACTGTAAAATTATAGAAATATAATGACACAGTTTTAGGATATGGAGTAGCGCCATAATATCAGGTTACTGAGTAGTGTCATAATATTACGAAGAAGGATTACATTTATGCATGTCCCAATACCAGCTGTAGCTCCGTGTTTTAATAAAGTTGTTCTGGTTACAGTTCCTCTATAAAGTCCCAGTGCCAGCAGCGACCCCCAATTAAAGGCTTTGCTGGTGTTTCTTTGGCATAAATCACACGTTAACCCCAGGGAGCTCTGGCCCTGCCCTCCTCAGCTGTCCATGTTTATATTTAGTGCTGCAGGCAGGAAGATGGAGCTGTGGTGTAGGTTTACTATGAAACCCGACCTGCTGGCTGTTTTATGGTTTGGGCCATATTTGTCCCCTCAGTGGTCTATGTGCAGAATTGTACTGAGTCAGAGACTGCCTCCCTCTGTGTTCCTGTCATGGGAGCTCACACAGTGTTTCTGCACTGGAGTCTGAACCCATGATCAGCCATAGCATTTCTTAATCCGCATCTGTCAGCTCATTGTTATGGTGACTCCACACACATCCTCCTGGTGCCTTCACCAGAGTTCTGCGTGTTAAAGGAAGGATATTCCCAATGCTTTCCTGGTGCTTTGCCATAATGGATCTTCATCAGTATCAGAAGTACTTTCAACAAGTCTTTAACAGCTGTCAGACTGAAATCAAAACAGTGATGAAGTTTAATGTTAAAAAAATACAAATTTAAATTCAGGAATTAAACAATTCTAAAGTTTGCTGTAGTGCGCCATGCTTGTTTTACTGGCTCATTTAGGCTCAGTTGCG